AACACGAGATCACCTAGACGCGTGGATACTTCATTGGTGCAAGACTGGTTTATGGGGGGCGGTACCGTATTTATGTGCTAGGCGGAGGTATGCTTGGCTTTCGTTCTCGCGGATGAAGTCAAACAGGTTGCCTAGCACCGGAAGAGGTTTTGGACCAGGTGGGTACGGAAGACCACGGGGATTGGCTTTTTTCTATGCCTTCCGCCTCCGCACGATGAAGAGGACGAGGAAGAGAGAGAAAGCGAGCAGTGGTTTGACGCCGAGTGACAACATGCCAGCGTCTTGAGAGAGATACAGCTAATCATCTTTGATCTGGACGTTTTTATATCGTTGGTGACCCCTTCCGCGATTCATATCATCCATCACAACCAGTGTGTCTTGACATCGTACCGTTTTGGTGGACGTAGTTTGATGGTGACTCATTCAACTTCAAACTAGTGTCGTGGATACCGCAAACTTGAGGAAGCCAATTCCCATAGGAGTCGTCATGAAAGCTTTAAGTAACCTCCTGTCCAGTGTAAACATGACAAAGCCTGAGTCGAGTCCGTCTTGCAGAATCCTCAGGACAGCACTAGTAGCTCCCCGACGGCGTTTTGAGCGAACCAGACTCCTCAACTTTGTACGCAAGTCCAATGGTTTTCGTTTCGGCCTTCTTGTATGCACCTGGGAACGCAAAGCGCTACAAACCGGTTTTGACGCTTCTAGATTTGAAAGGCGTCAGGAAAAGTAGTAACAGCGTTGGCTTATTTAGAATTGATTTAGAAATTGAGAAGGGTTCCCTCGGACATGGCAAATTCGAGTCCGCCAGTTTAAAAAAGCCCGGCTTAGGTTGGCCTTTCGGTGACTCCGTCGCAACGAGACGAAAGGCAAACAAAATAGTACTTGGTGATGGACAAGTGATGGAGATGAACGTTGAAGTTTATGTCTGACTGAAAGGAAAGGATAAGGCGACCTACAACATGATCGTAGAACGCTGGCAATGGGCATGGGAAAACCTTGTTTCTCAACGGCACTTCCGTCCACTTGAGTGTTGCAGCAACTTGTACGGTGTAGACGACCTAGTTGAACTCGCAGTCCGATGACCATCTGTTACTTACTCCTAGTTTAAAAGCCAAAGAGTCAGCTGAAAGCCGAAAAAAAAAGCTCGTTCGCTCCGCCGCGTGCGTGCTTGCTTTCACTCGGGAGTCACTAGTCAACGCCGGGGTTCTAAAAATGGTTCTCGAAGAGCGGAGTTTCTGCGAGTTCTTGCAGGCGAGCGCGATGTCAAGGGCCTTTTTGAACCTCAGATATTGTCCGAAGGTCCACGGCTGCAGTGGTAAAGCTTTAAAGAGGTATCCGCTGAGCCGGTTGAAGAAAGTAACGTGTTTAGAATCCCACGATCCAATGCCCTTGACGTCGTTGTGGTTGTCGACGCTCCCTCTTCCAAAACAAAGCTCTCTCCTCCGCGAATCTAGACTAGGGGCGTTTTCCTCTTGATTGGTCTCGGATATAGCCTAATTAGCGCCTTGTGTCTGAATAGACAAGGAAGGGACCTGGCAATTTTGGGGCAGGCCACGGATGAGTGCACGCTGAGTTCCACTTGCGGGAGCCTTGCCGCCATATCACGTCTGTTCTTTTCGATCATATCCTATTTCAATGCTCTGACGTTGTTTACTCGACTAGTTCAGACTGATTCTAGCTTAACCACCATGGACTAAATCGCAAATGGCATTGGTTGGCTCGTTTCTGCCTTGCCAGTGTCAGTGGCTCCTCAATTCAATCGTAATGTTATATTTCTTCCCTCTCCGTCTCCCTCACCCGTCGCCAACGTCCACCGCTTAGGTACACACCCCACTGACAATGAGTGTCCCTCGATTCTCTGCACTCCTCGGCCTAGGCATCCGCATCCCATCACCTTTCATTCGCTTTGCGCCCTTCTCAGACATGCTCCGCCCTAGCTACTCTTCCAATTTCTCAATTACCCTCGTGTCCAAGAACCGAACTTCCATTCCGTCAAATAAAATCCACTCGATGACGAAAAACCACGGAATGGACGCGAGGTCGCTTTGGATTCAGGGTTTGTTGGGTCCCTCGTCTCGAATAAAGTCCACGATTGCGGCGAATATGGGAGAAGGGAAAGAGGACGGGGGATTTCTGTTTACGTGGACGAGGAAGATGGACGAGTGAGCGGCCAAAGATGAGGATGGGAACAAGGATGGGGAGGGGGCTGCGGTTTGTGTCATTTTTACCCTGTTTCACGCTTTTTGCATTTTTGTTGTTCCTTCGGGTTTTTCCTGCCGTCTTCTCATCGTCTTTTCGTCGTGTCTTGCCTTTTCCTCTTTTCTCGTTTCTTTTCATGGGCCAATCTTGTTTCGGAATGCTGATGCACAATCATTCTAGATACCCATCTGGAAAAACAAGAAGATGCGGGTATGCCTCGCACCTGCCTGCATGTATGAGCTCCGCTGCGCTCACCACCAAATGCCCTCGAGTAACATGATACCTTTTCAGCCTTCTGTGAAATAAGTCAACCAGGAGGCAGATACAGGCTTGTTGTGAGTTGGTGATAATGGTACCAAAAACGGTGTCCACGCCTCCCCAGTAAAACTCTGAGTGTTAGAGTAATTGTGGGCCTGTTGTACTGGCTTTAATCGTGGTAGTTTGAGGGATGGCGCCTGAAGCTATCTGATAGAGAGCTCTGCCGTCGTGGAATAGAAGGCCCTACTGGGAAGAGCATGGCTCACTTCAAAGAGTTTTGTGGCAAACGCTCTGAACCAAAAAAGCAAGCTTTATCTGCCCTCTTGCAGCGAAGGTTCCACGCCATGCCAGACATACTGATAGGTAAGCGCCCGCACCTCATTGTACCTCCCACCAACATCGTTGAGATCCATACTAATGCCCCCATCCAGATCTGGACCGCAAAACCGCTCCACAAATCGACTAGGTGACTCCGTGGATGGCCGCGGAGGAGACAGCGACGGGGTGAGCATATGATCTTACTCTCAATCTTGTCTCGATAAATTGAACTCTGGGTCCAACGAAGCAGACAGGCGGAGAAATGGCTCCTCGTTACTGTGCGTCCAGCCCACCTTCTTCAATGTTGACACAGCTGTTGGACTAATCCCACTGAATTTCTTTGATTAGTATATTATCGTCTTTACACAAAGGACGGCGCAATCCAGTCGTTCAACCCCATCTACTCCAACGATCCGTCCATTAGCCGCATTTTGCCAAAGTCGATCACGCCCCCTCATACCGCCTTATCACTGAAGAAACATCTCTGCAAGATCGAAGGCGTGGCAGGATCAAACGCCCTTTTATTTGAAGCGCTGTCGAGTGACGCTGCCATTCCAGATTCCACGCGTCTCAAGCTTCGTGGTCATCTTGGCTTAGGCGTGTCGTCTCGCGAGCCCATGGCTTTGGTGGTCGGGGTCGTTGAAGTTGAGAATCGATCAAGCGGCCCAGATCAGGCGCAGGAGGTAGTAAGCGAAAACCCTGACCAACACGAGACGCACTACAGTACGCCTGATGTTCTTATCGCCATTCTCGGTTCTTATCGTTTTTAGTATATTACCGTGTATACGATGAAGAGGGCGAAGTGAACTCGAGAACAGCCTTTGACGGAAATGATGCCTCCCTGGGTCGCGTGGACACCTTATCCGTAGCGCCACCTTACACCGTGGCCTCCTTAAAATCCTGCATCGCGAAAGCCGAACACATCGTAGATCGGGAGATTCAATTATTCGAGGACACCGATGGTGAAGCCCTCATGAAAGATGCTGACCGGGCATCCTTTCGCGCAGAGACTTTTCCGGGTTGCCTTGAAGATGACCCTTTAGCCTTGATCTACGGGCCAAAAAAGTTGGTTCAAGGACCAACCATGACAAGGCCGATTCAAGCAAATACTTACTGCAGTGGGTAAAATCGTCAAAGACTCGCCCGCCGTTTCCTTACGTTTGCCATTCAAGGTCCTAATGACCAGAGCATTTCCACATGGCATGCGCATCGCAAAGGAGAGATTCTCCGCACTGACGGGGTCAAGGTAACAAAACCTTACTTTAGCCTCGACGGCACTACACAAGGTATTTTATTTTCATGTTCTCTCTTCTTTCTAGTCATATCTTTTTTTCAAAGGCAGCTGGACCGGTTACATGGCAATAAACTCGGCTGGAAAACAGGCGTGTGAGTAGTCAATATTTCTCTACTCAATTTGTGGTTGAAGTGACTTTTTACGACCAGTCGTGGTAGCTGGTAAGTGGGATTTTCATGGATGTGCATCTTCCGCCCGTCATCTAATCAGGCTGTGCATCTATTTCCATAAAAGATCGAGTCGCTTTCTGCTGATTATCCGATCATTCTCGCGCAGTAGGTATGTTTTCTGGCTAGCCAGACGACTGTAATTTTGTGGATGTCTTCGAAAAAATCAATAATTAACATTATACCTGCCAGACTGTTTGGAGAAAGTATGAAATGATAGGTAGAACCCGCTTTTTCCGTCTGTCTTTCAGAGAAGATTATAACTTTTGAACCACATCTCACAGGGGAGAAACAGTGATTTGTCCAATGAGTAAATCCTGGGCATATGTTGATCGGAGGCATTATTGCTCGATAATTTACTTCACATTTGCCAGGTGGGTAAATTCAAAATATGCCCAACATTCAACATCAACTGCAATTAGGATGTGCACAAAGGACCACATGAGAACTATTGGTAAAATGTGCATCAAATTTTCCCCAGCAGCTCATTCAATATTTGCTTTCAATGTGCCCAGATATTATTAAATGTATTCAGAATATGCCCAATATTTCAAGACACATTTTAAGTAAATTCATCAGCTTCATTTAGATTGTTACCAATGGGCATATTTCACATGGGACTACCATCCATAGTGTCTTTTTATCTCAGCTTTGATTCCGAATATATTTTAAATTTATCCTTTGAACAAATGTGAAGAAAATCATTGAGCAATAATGCCTCCAATCAACATATCCCCAGGATTTACTCATTGGACAAATCACTGTTTCTCCCCTGTGTCTGTCAGACCATCTACATTATTCTCATACTGTCATTTTACGGGATAAAGGATTACAGTCCAGCATTGAACTGTACTGCAAAAAAAAGTTTGTCAATGTGCAGAGCTTGCCCCTCTATTCAACAAATATTATAATCATTGGCACTTCATGCCTGACGCTTTCGACCGTCAGAAGACCTTGGAGGCTGATTCTTTGACTGATGAGATTTGGCCTCACGGGTAGGTATCACCGCGGTCGCTTCCCTATTAATCCAAATAGGGAAGGCCATCTGAGAACGATCTCGCGTGCGAGGTGTCTGTTTCTCGCATTGATAGAGGCATCAGGCTGTCCGGCGTGAGGCTCTAAGCATCGCAGGGTTATAGGCTCGAGGTTCCAAGGTTCCAAGAGGCCAGGGTGTCAGGTGCCAGGTTATACGTACAAAGGGCGTCAGGCGCGAGGTTACAAGCCTGCAGAGGGTGTCAGGCGCAGAGGTTTCAGGCGCCAGGCTCGAGGGGCATAACCAATATTTAAAATGTACTTGATTCAAGAAATATATTACGGGGAGATTAAGTAAATAAGGGGGGTACAAGAAACAGACAAGACTATAATGACGAGGGGTACAAGAGATGGGCAAGAATATATATAGCAACAACGAAGATGGTCCAACAGGTCGCCACACAAGACACACGATAATTGGCACCTTAAGTCGAGCGCGAGGGACCAGGCTCTCCTTCAGCCAGCTTTACTGGGACATTCGCAGCGGCGGCAGCTCCAGCACCGGCGTGGTAGAATGGGGGGAAGGGCATCATAGGGTGTGGAGGAAAGGGGAAGGCTGGCGCTGAATCCCCCGCACTCCCTGCAGGACGTTCTTGGGAGAAGGGCATCATGGGGTGTGGAGGAAAGGGGAAGGCCGGCGCTGAATCCCCTGCACTCCCTGCAGGACGCTCTTGGGAAAATGATGGGTAGGGCCAACCAGGCGCAGGAGGAAAGCCAAAAGGTGGATAGTAGGGGCCGTAGGGCCACTGGTATGCTTGAGCGGGTGTGGCTGCTGCTGCTGCTGGCTGAGCTGAGGAGGCCGCTGGGACCTCAGCGGTCATGTGTTCGCCACTGCTTGATTCTTGCAGTGCCTGGGCTCCTACGTCTCTCTCAGGACTTGGCGACTTTGGGGCACTTCGAAGCCTCTTGGGTGCGGCAGCATCGATTGATTTTTCCCCATCCGCTACGCGCTTCGAAGAGTTGGGCAAAGATGGTGGAGCGGTGGTGGGGTAACGAGGGGGACCAAAGGCCGAAGTTTTTTTGTGAGTGGCCGTCGTTGTAGATTCACTAACGTTCGGAGGAACGGTCGCCTCTGTATGATGAGGAGTGCGAGCCTTGGGTGGCTGTCCGGACTGTGCAGGGCCTCGAAGGTGTCCCTCGTTGGTGGAAACAGAGGGTTTGACGGAGGGTTTGACGAGGAATGGGTCACCCGAGTCCCAGATGGCCACAGTTGGTTTCTTAATGGGACGTGGTGTGGGTTTCGAGGGGGCAGGCTCGGGGTTTGGCTTTGGAACCAGTTGGGAGATGGCTTTGGTTCCTCCCTCGGCTCTCGCAGCAGCAGCAACAGCCTGCGTAGCCGCAATGAACGAGGAGAGCGGCTTGAAAACGAGCTTGGGGGTGTCTGTGAACAGGCCCAAGTTTGCTTCTGTCGCGATAGGTGGAGATGCTAGCTTTCGTGAGGACTTGATGGGTGGGGCTCGAGTGGCTGGTTCGGCATCGACATCGATGGGAATAACCTGGTCCTCCTCACGATCCTTCGCCTTGCCCTTTCCTTTAATGTCCTTCGTCGTCGTCGTGGTCCTGGCAGTCACCTTCCCCTTGTAATTCCCTTTTTTCTCTGCACGCTTAGGGTCATCGTCCTCGTCGCTTATCTCATCACTGTCCGAAATGATCTCCTTCGACTTCTTCAATGCGCGTCTTTTTGAAGCTTGGAGAAGCGGAGCGTCAGGGGACTTTTCCTTTTTGACTCTGGAACGTGTACGGCGTGGAGCGACTGATGTGTCTGACTGTGGACTCGATAAGATTTCGATGACCTCAGGTACCGTGCGAGGGCCGACGAAGGTCTTGTACTCTTTATCTCCAGGTGTGAGGAAATCTTTGTGACCGTTCGCGAAGGCACGGCGGATGACGTCGAGGGAGCCGGGTCCTGGGGGAGCTTCCACATATAAGGGAATCTTGGAGGCGAGTAGCACTGTTGTTGGATGAGCCAAAAGAATGATTATCGATAATAAATTGTACTTACAGTCAGAATTTGCAGTCACCACACGAATCGTTGTGGCTTCACTCTTAAACGACTCTGCGAACAACCGTATTCCAGGATTACCAAGGTCTTTGATGCCCTGACTTGTGATCCGCTTGCGCACCGTAGTCGCCCCAGGCGTGACCTCTTTTTTTTTGGAAGGTACTGCGCACGGAAAAACAATGCCCCTCGGCCAGTTCTCAATCCTGAGACCAGCGCGCGCGAGGCTCCCACCCAATTTGACCCAAGGGATTTCCTCAAGGCTTATACCGAGAGTGAATGGTTCTGAAGGCTCAAAGTTAGATAGGGTGGTCGGTCAGATGGAAGTGACAATTGAACGTACGTAGCACCCGTTGGAACCCAGCTTTGATGATGGCCTTCGCCTCTGCAATAGCGAGTCCCTCTTTGTCACGCTGTTGAACGTTCATCGACGAAGACGCGACCGCCGAGTCTGCCAGTGTCTGACGGTCCGTCTCCAAACGCTCTTGTAGGTCCACTGAAACACGATTGCTGTTGCACAATAGATATTAGCAAGAACAACTGTACTGCCGAACAATTGTAACGTACCAGACGTGATTTCTAAACAATCCAGTCATTGTGCTCTCATCAAAGCGAAGGCGCTCCTCTAAGAACTGGAGTGGGGGATGGTAAGCAAGGTTGTTGAATACAATGCACACGAGCACCAACCTTATCAGCACCCGGCGAAACATACACTTCCGTCAGCCCCGTGTCCTCGTGAATTGAATTGCCAACGACCACCAGCAAAGACTCGAACCCGTCTCTTGCTGAAGCATTCTTCGCGAGGCTTCTAAACTTTTTCACCAAGGCGTCGAATTTTCGAGTGCGACTGTTGATGGTCAACTGAGCCCCAGACACTGTCAGCATTTCATCATGCGCGTCCAGGATCTCTCGCCAGTTCGGCTCGAGCCTCTTGAAGCCTTCCCAACACGTCCTGCCTAAAGAGTGACCATGAGTAGTGGCCGTAGCGTATCAGAAACGATGCTTACAGTTCGCAGTCGCATCGTTAATCCGTCGTCTTTCCAAAGGTCGATTATCTAAAAAGTAGTGCTGATACTTGTTCCAAATGGAACGTGAGCACTCCCGTGCATGGCTTCGTTTCCACAGGGTGATGATGTTTTCGGGCTTGCGACCAGTCTCATGTGAAAGCTCATCAATGAGCTCATCCATCTTTTGAAACCCGGCGTGTAGTGTCTCCCACGTAGCTGTCGAGATTCGGCCCGATGCCTGATGGGCGCCTTGCTCGCTTGAGGCGGAGTCGTCTCCTGGAGATGAGATGTCACCCACGTCAGATGCTGCAAAGAGATCGGGGTCTTCATCCTCGGCAGGGGCGTCAAAATCATGTTCGTCGTCCAATAAGCCTGTGACGGCCTGATTGAATGGAGGGGGGAGACTGGTAGCAGGAGCAGAAGGAGGAAGGCTGGTCGGAAAAGAGGGATTCGGCGGGAAGGTAAACTGCGGATATGGGTTGAGTGGGGGGAAAGGGTTCACGTTCGCCACAAACACATTGACATCTTTCCCATCTGTATGAGACATCGTGGCAGCGGATTCTTCGACGCTTGAGGGAGCCGTATCATCCTCTGGGTGAGATATCATCGTAGCGAATTCTTCGAGAC